GACGCCATTGTTTTCGGTCTTCAATTCCTCACAGGTCACGTGGTACAGTTCCCGTTCTATAAGTGTAGAATTCTGTGGGATAGACTGAATTTGAACCATTTTTTCTTCCACAGCGCAGTGTGTATATTTGTAGATTAGATCCGGCTTTAGAAATCTTAGAAACCTGCTTCGCAACCCCACTGTTTTTTCAACCTCAAAATGAGCAATGACAGTAATGTCTCATGACTTTGTCACTTCTATTTTTCAATCATACTCAGGAAGAAACTGATGGCAAAGTAAGTAAAGCAATTTTTCTAGAGACACAGATCTTGTTGTGTTTCTTTCAGCTGGGCATATACAGCCGAAATTGTCAGAGACAGCCACCCATTGTCGAGGAGAAAAGTGGTTTTCTTAGACAGGTGGATGTCTTGAACAGCGTCTTTACTATAGAAAAAAAACAACCTACAAAAGGAGGGGGGGAGGGGTTATGGTCGTTTGTACAGGTCATTTCCTGGCTGTTAGAGCAGGTTGATCTGTATTTTGGTACGTCTGTATCTTGGTATGTGAATAACAAGAAAACGGTGGTGATGGGAATAATGAGTTGGAGTTTTAGAAGCCTTGCTGTTCTTGATACTTATGAGAAGCTGAAGTTTGTATACCAGATTTACAGAAGTTTATGCAAGTCATGGAAAATAGACCCTTTCCCAGTTAGTGAAAAAACATACTTTAGTTTGCTCTAAAGAGAACTGATAATGGTTGCATTTGTGGTGCAATAACGAGAAGTCTTCTCTCAAACCTTTAAGTCTAGGCCCTTTTTTTTTCTGTCTAGTTCTAAAGAATGAACTGGCCCCATCTTCATTTTATATTACTGCATTTAAAGATTTCAACTAAAATTGGCATTTTTCTTGTGCACTTTTCTTTCACATTTACTTATTTACTTTGCATGGAAATGCATGCCTGTTTTCTTATGCTGGTCATTTCTATTAATATGTTTTCGTTCACTTTTTTTCTTTTGCATGCTCGTATTTGCACTAATGAACTCTTTTCAGATGAAAAGATTTCTCTTTTCTGCCTATAATCATTAGTACTCTTTTTTATAATAATTAACTTCTTGTATTTGCTATTTATACATCTAACATTTATTAATTTCTATATTCATTTTCATAATTATTAGTTTGAAATTTGATCTATTCTGTCTTTAACCTTTTCATATTGATGTAAAATTTTATGTGTTTTCATTCTTTCTGCATGATATTTCTGTACGTGCTTTAAAATTACCGTTGCATTTTTTAAACTTCACTTCAAATTTCCTGTGTAAGTGTCTCTGGTGTATCTTTGTCATTTTGGGTACGGCATGTGCATGTGTGACTGACAGGTGTTGTCTGTGTGCCACCAGGTATGATGTCAGTGGCAAGGTGGACATCAGCGACCTGACCTGGGAACAGAAGGAGCGAGTGTTGCGCTACCTCTTTGCCAAGATGAACGGCAACAAGACGTCCCAGCGGTACGCCCCGCTGCCTGGTATAGGTCAAGGAGAGGCTCCTCTGAGTATCACACAAGGGGAACAAAGGTAGGCTGGAGTGTGATTAGTTGTGTGCTTGATTGTTTGTGTGTGTGTACAATGCGTGTGTTTGTGTGTGTGTGTGTGTGTGTTATTGTGTGTGACAGAGTGCGTGTGTGTTTGTTATTGTGTGTGTACATGTGTCTGCGTGTGTGTGTGTGTTATTGTGTGTGTATGTGTTATTATATGTGTGTGAGGATTTGTGTGAGAGAGAGACTGTGTGTGTATGTGTGTGTGTGTGTGTGTGTGTGTGTGTGTGTGTGTTTGTGTGTGTGTGTAAGTGCAGTAAAACTTTTACTAAATTTTCACAAAGAACCAACAGAGCTTTCTTACTTTCTTTTCTTTTTACATTACTCTCTAATAACATTGGTAATCTTGGACACATATATATTATGACCTACTTGGGAACTGCATGTGCCGTAAAACTCTTACTAAAACATGTTTCTGTTTTTGCTGTGTGTCTGCAGTGGGGCCGAGGAGGGAAGGAACAGCACCTTCCTCACGCAGGCTCACATGGACATGGTTAACCAGTTCCAGAAGCATGGATTACTTCCCCCTGAACCGCCTGCCCAGGCACAAGCTTCTTAAATATATGGATTAAAAATCTTTTTTTTTGTATGGACTCACCTTGCCATTGAATTTAAGTTAAGAAATTAAGACAGATTCATCTTATGATAGAAGGAAGAAATGGAATTTCACAAGGTTTTTTTTTGTAGCATGATGCTTACAATTTTCCTTTATTTCAGGGAAATAAAATCTAAGAAGTTTTTTCCCCATTTATTAGGAAAGTGCCACATTTTACATCGTTTATGGCTTTATAGAAGTCTGATGTGTCTCTGCTGGTCTTTGGATTATCTGTAACAGCATTGAATTAGAATGGAATTTATATTTGTGTTATGCTCTTTATATTACTCATATTATAAATGCTGAATTCTGTTGCTATGCATCAATATAATGGCTGCTGCCGGTAGTAATGGACCATGGTCCCAAGTGAAAGATAGAATTCAAGGAGTATTGTCTCAAGCTTCAACAGCATTGCAGGATTTTTATCCAGGGCATCCTGTCATGGATGTTTTTTCCTTCTGCTATCTGAATAGTGATTTTTTTAAAGATATGTGCTGGTGTTGTGGATAAGACATGTTTTTTTTAACTGCTCAATTAAAAATTTTCAGAAAACCATTTTTTTCTGTGATGTGCTAAGTTTGTGTCTACTTTGAGAAAAGCATTAAAACCAAGCATTAATTGAAACTTGTTTGATATTATTACCTTTACACTGACCAAAAAGCATTCCTCTCCTATCTGGAAAGTTTCATGACATGACAAATTCTCAGCTTGTTTTTACTTTTGCACGGACTTAATCCCTTTTTTTGTCATTGAAGACTTTGGGGATTCAAAAACGTTTTAAAAATGAGACTTAGTATGTTAGAAATCAGCATTGGAGTGGTTGTATTGACCAGGCAAATATTTTTTCTTGATGTAAATACATAATAGAATACCATAGCCTCCTGCTGGTGATGGTATGATGTTAGAGTTCGAGCTATCGTTGTTCTTTAACATGGCTTCTCTCTTTCTTGTGATTGTTTGTTTGCTTTCCACACCGCCCAAAATGAAGCTGCTGTGAAACTCTGTGATGACTTCTATACTTATGATCTTTCAATGTTTATTCAAATGATTTTATATATTTGTCAATTTTGAAATCCTATCTTATAAGTGAAATTTAGTGAAAGTCTTGGAGTTAACCTTTTTTTTCAGCTTGCAAATGTAATATCATAATGCAATTACTTTTACGTGCCACACATGCACTTATTTCAAATTCTTTTTTTTTACATTTATAGTGTCTCTCCTTTCTATCTGCGTGTGAAGACATTTGGAGTGAGGAGGTGTCCAGAAATATTTTCAAGAAATGATAGTTACGGAAGCTCAAAACTAATCTATGTGCTCAAGAGAAGTTAAACTCATACCTATTAGCGAAGTGCTGCACTCTGAACACTTCTGTTGATTGTCAATGTTTGTTTAGGCCAATGTGGCTGTATGTACAATAATAAATTTGACAAGAGAAAATACTTGAAAATGTTGCTTTTGATGTTTTCTTTTGAGTGTGGAGGGGAGATGGGGGAGGGGAGGGGTAGGGGTGCTTTGGATGATGTGTCACTGAACTGTCAGAAAGATGTTTGATTCATAAAGGCTGGAGGGAAACTTTTTTACTGTACAGAATGAAAAATGAAGGAGAGGAAGGCAGCAGGTGAAATAAGACAAGTTGATTATAATGAAGGAAGACGTTGACAGAGAGACAAATAGTTTTCTTTTTGTTTTAGCTATTGGTTTCTCTGTAGCAACGAGGTGAATGATAATGAAAAAAAGCGTTAAAAATGGTACACAGAGATGAATAGATTTTTAAAGAATTTTAGCTTTTAGTTTCTTCACAGCAAAGAGGAATTTGGCTGAAAATGCTGTGGTTAAAAGTACTACACATAATGAATAACAGCAGGAAACTTTGCTTTCACGGCAACCAGTTAAAGACATATAAGTTCTCTTGACTGTTACCAAATCTTATAATAACAGTTTGTCTCTGAATGTCTGACCATGACCAATACATCTGCTGAGGAGTATGTTTCTCAAGCAAAACAGAAGAAATAAGGGTTAAGATTACTTCTGGCTTCTGCTTTGGCGGATGAGACCAATTCTGGCACAGAAGAGCTTGCCACATTTTGAGCTTTTAAAAGCTTCATTTCCACTTGTTGATGTTTATTTTTGCAGCTTGTGGGCTTCTCTCTTCTGCCATAAGTTGACAAAATGCCTTTTCTTATTCACAGAGGTTGGACAAAAAAAGCTTTTTTGTTAGTGTAACAATTTAAAAATAGTGTTCCTCCAAAATTTGAATTCTAATTTATCAAAAAACTAGTGACAGTTTCACTTTGATTTTTTCGCACAAGTAGGGTAACTGATCAAGCTCTTGATTTAGCAAATCAAAAATGTTGGAACCAAAATGAAAAAATGTGTTTTCTCTTCTTACGGCAGTCTTGGCTTTAAAATTATGATAATAAGTAAAGCCAAAGAAAAAAGATTACGTAATTGTAGAAGTATGACATCCCCATCGACAATTTAACATAGATCATTAAGGGGGCGGGTTACTTCAACTTTATCTGTCAGTGCTAACCCGGGCTGAGAGAGATACAACATGCCTGCAGAAAGACGGTGATACTTTATGCAAATTTTCCCCTCACGGAGATCGAACTCTTGTCTCCTGCGTGTGATGGCAAAGCACATAACCACTACAGCACAGATGCCGCTGAAGTCAGTGAGACTGTCACCTTAAACTTGTTGACAATGCGAGTTCTGATCCTTCAACCACCGTAGAAAGTACATTGTTTAAAGGAGAATTATAATAATATAAGAAGCATAACTTTGTCATTAAAACGATTATTTCTTTTTTTTTTAATTATGTTTTCCCTATCTTAAACTTGAAAAGCCAAGCAACATCGTGCATTCTATGATATGATGATAATGAATATACAATTTTGTGTTTTTGATTACTTGTACACGATTGCTCAAAATATGCCGCAACAATATCTTAAACTTGGAAAGTCAAACAACAACGTGCATACTATGATATAAGGATAGTTTGCAAAGTTGTGTTTCTGATGTGTGCACGATGGTTGGAAAGATGCCGCAACATTACCTGTTGTCTGCTGCTCATCGAAAATATCGTATCTGCTAGTGCTAGGTTCTTAAAGAGTTAATTAAGGCGGGTGAACAAGTGACTTAAAGGGACGTCCTTTTTTCTTTACCTCTAAGTACGGGCGACACCCTTACGTTTTAGTACATGTTACGGCACTTGCAACACAATAAGGTCACATAAGTGCCGAAGATTAGAGGTGTTACCAGAGAGTAACAAACACAAAAAAGATGGAGGAGAATAAGGGCAACAGGTATTTAATAGGAAAGAAGGAGCAAACCATACCAGAGCACCTGTCAACCACCCACGACCACCCGTAAGTGGTGATTCGTGAAATATTTGTTTCCCAACGCTGTGGAATCAGACGCTTGTCAATTTTTGGACATATGGACTTATGGGTAGGCCTATAATCTTAAAGCTAGTTTATTTGTCTTTTTGTCCGTTAAAAAATACCCATCTATCTTAAATAGATTAGAAGTCGAAATATTTACGATTGAAGGAGGCGTGGGTGACCTGTTTTCTGAAGTAAAATTTGCAGAGAAAATGGCCGCCAGTTTGATAACTTCTATAGCTTGAAAGTCCTTGAAAACTGAAAATGTACATATTTTATATCGAACGTTTTTCTGTAAAATTCATAGTGAAATATATTCGTATTTGGACATAAAATGTGTTGAGCCAAAAAAAAAAAAAAAAGTTCTAAAAAAACTTGCCAAACTAGAGGAAATTTTAATGTTTGTTTCATGGATTTCATTATTTTGACGAGCGCCTGATTTCACCATGATGACTCACATTTCGTTCAAAACTTAATCAATATGATCAATATGCAAACAGGTAATCTGATGTGGTATAATCCTCTCACTTAAAATAGTGGGTTATTACAAGTCAACCTATGCACCAGAGATGACACCTGCACCTCCAGGTCATCATCATCATTGTTTTTCTCACTCTGCATCAGGGTATAGGCAACGAACAAACTCTTTCCACCTTTCTCTATGCTGGGCTAGCCTCTTGATGTTATTCCATGTCTTCCACTTTTCTGTTCATCAACGTTTGTGACTCTTCACTAGGTTCCACACAGTCTTCCCCCTTGATCTTTTACTGCACCTCCAGGAAACTATTATATTATACTTGTGCAAACCCGTCACTTTGGTTGCCTAAAACTTCGGAACCACTTAACTTTCGAATTTGAAAATAAATAACTTTCGTTCGGAATCATTGAAAGGGTGCACAGTTATATTAAAGAGTCTGAAGTCACTAATATAATTTTAAGTTTTTCATTAGTTTCTTTTAGATCTAATCATGGGTAAGTCCGTCTTCTAAGACGTCATTGTGAACAAGTGAGGCTTCCGTTCACAAGCAGTGCACACTGATTCGACAACGACTTGATGATCGATTCTTTTGAGTCTCTTCATCAAACAGGTACCCAGTTAGTTCAGGTATAATCCTAACGGGACCAACTCAGACTGAGAGGGATACAACATCCAAGTTCCCAGCAGAGAAAGACAGAGAAACTCAACAAAAATTCTTTTCACCCGGGAAACGAACTCTGGCCTCCTTCATGCATTAGCAAAGCGCCTAACCATCACACCACAGATGCCAGTAAAAACAGCTTTAAAGAAACATAATAATAAATTTCACCAGCACACAAAACAACTCGTTTATTTTCCCCCTGTCACCATGGCTGTGTCCGTCTGTTGTTGCCCCACTCCCTCATCGCCACAACAAGCCTCCACCATACGTAACCCGGTCTCTGCTTTGATGAATTATTAATTTTCATGTAGATGCAGACCACTATCGGATTGTGCGTTTCTTATGCATGATGGAGGATGCCTTCTTTTATTTCTCTTTGCCTCTATTTTGCCCTGCAGATTTTGGGGGCCACATAAGAAGACAATTTAAATATCTCTGAAGAGAATGGTGATGGGAGGAATGGCAGGAAAGGAGAAGACCAACGTAAGATGAGAAGGGGACATAAAAGACTGGATTTAGAACAGGCACCATCACAATAGTAATCAACTGAAACAGGTGAAGGAGTTTAAATATCTTTGCAGCACTTTTTCTGAAAACGGGTCCATAGACAGAGAAATAGAAATGCAATCTCAAAAAGCCAACGCTGTCACCTATCAGCTTGCACTCCTCCTATCTCATCCAAATATCTGCATAGATACAAAGAGATAGCTCATCACCTCAATATTTATACCAGCATTATGCTACCAGTGCCAGACCTGGACAAGTAAAACCCATGAAAGCAAAATCGCTGCCTGCGAGATGAAATGCCTCTGGACAGCCCTTAAGCGTCTCAAGACGAGACATGCAGAGAAATGCAGATGTAAGAGCAGCTATTGGCACTGAGTCCTGTCTTCATTTCACAGAAAGACGGAGAATAAAATGGTTTTGCCACCTATTACGTATGTCACTTAGCCAGCCAGCCTCGAGAGCTTATATCACCAAGCACTCAGGCTATATAGGAAGAGGAAGGCCAAAGGTGGATTGATGGAGTCAAGAAAACCCTGAGAAACTACATGTATAATATCCCAATTGAAAGAGCTGCGGAGCTGGCCTACCATAGAAAACTGCGTCTCCCCTCGACGCTTAACGGCAACTGAGGATGAAAAAGTAAAAGTAAGCACCATCACAGTATTGGGGCCAAGGTAAAAAAATAAGAAGGCATGAGATCATTGGCTCATCAGGGATACCACGTTTCATAAAGATGTACAAAGATAATGCTGTATTTCAAGTAGAGAGAGAGAGAGAGAGAGAGAGAGAGAGAGA